TAAAGCCACACATGGTTTATTTGAAATATTTTATAATTTAAAAAAGTACAGAAGCAGGAAAACCAATTCTAAGTTCGAGTGAGGGATGATGGTAATTTGAACCAAAGGATTGCATGTAGTAAGAAATTATGATTTAAAATGTATTTTAAAGTTGGAAGTAGCAGGATATTCTGATGGAGTTTGACTTTGGTTTTGGGCCCAGTGAGTTTGAGATGCCTTTGAGAAATGAAAGAAGTAGAGAATTAAAAACCGGCCAGGCATGGTGGCTCATGCCTGTGGTCCCAGCACTTTAGGGGGGCTAAGGCGAGTGGAATACTTGAGATCAGCTTGAGCAACATGGTGGAGGCCCATCTCTACAAAAGATAATAAAAATTGGCTGGGCATTGTGGCGCACGACTGTAGTCCTGTGTACTCAGAGGGCTGAGACGGAGGGATCAATTGAGCCGGCGAGTTCAAGGCTGCAGTGAGTCGTGATTATGCCACTGCACTCCAGCCTGGGTGACCGAAGAGACCCTGTCTCAAAAAAGAATCTGAAAACAATGGAACCATGCCTTCAGAATTCTAGAAAGTTATTTTCAACTGATAAATCTATATTCAGCCAAATAATCAAGAGTGAAGGTAAAATAATATTTAGACAACCAAAGACTCAGGGGTTACATGTACCCTTTCTTGGGAAGCTACTGGAGAAAATACTCCAGCAAAATTAAGGAGTACACAAACCAGAGAATGACATGGATCCAGCAAATAGGATCTAACACAGACAATATTCCAGCTATGGAGCTAGCTTTAAAAAGAAACAGTAAAAATATTAATAGGTTAGCTGGGTGGAATGGCCCATGCCTGTAGTCCCAGCTACTCAGGAGGCTAAGCAAAAGGATGGCTTGAACCCAAGCGTTCCAGACCAGCCTGGCCACCACAGTGAGAACACTTCTCTTAAAAATAATAGGTTATTGCCAGATTGGGGCATTTGGAAAGAAATGCATTGAAGATAAAGCAAAAGTAAAAAAAAAAAAAAAAAAAGGGGGACGGGTTGGTTAGGCAATGATTAATTCTAGGGCAGGAAGAAGTACAGGATAGGAAGAGCATCATATGCTGTTTTTCTCAACAATGAGCAATATGTACATAGTCAAAATGATGTGGTGACTGCTTAGCCCCTAAATCTGGTAATTACTTTGGGACAATATGAGAGGAAAAGTGAAGATAGTGATGGTGTAAGAGCTAAATCCTCATCTGTCATATCAAGAAATCACTAATGTATAACATAATCAAGAAATGACTAAGTAGTTACGTGAAGAAAAACTAGAACGTTGCTGGAAGAGTTAGAAGTCATTGCTCTGGAGAATTAGGAGGGATGGGGCAGGGGACTCTTAGGATGCATTATAAACTGAAGAGGCTTTTTAAAATTCTATGTGTGAATATATGCATTCACTTGAAAAACTAAAAAAAATAATAATTTTTTAAA